CGTCTTTTAGTAAGGAGTGAATATGATTCGAGCTCTCTGTGTAAACATGGCCTGCGTTTTGTGAGATGTAAGCATATTTCATGACTAGCTTCTATGTTACACCATCCTACTTGCAGCCGTCGGTCATCTGGATTAGATACGAAAAAAATAAATACTTATTTTTTCCCATTACTATATTTAATGTATAGCTCTACAAAAATTTCGAAAATATTAAGGTGACACAAAGTCCTTTTATCCTTTTTGCTAAACTGCGGTTCACAAGCATCCCCGATGAAATATTGTTTTCCGTTGAGCGTATGTCGGATGATTCACGATGACGGCTTTGCAACATTGTTCATAAAACAGTGCTTCTCTTTATCGCTGCTCTCCCGCCTCATTTTCTTCTCCTGAAATAATTTGTCGTACGTGAGATCTCGAGGTTCTTGCATAGGCAGGAAACATCCTTCTGAAATTTTTGGCCTCCTAGCTCTTCTGGCTCCTGAGATAATAATTTTTCCCGCCAAAACTTTCACAGAATAATACGTGATATCCGGGTATGCGACAAGGCTGAATTTAAATTTGCGAGACTGTACGTGGGCAGAACTCATTACTCTAAAAGTTCAGATTCCTAGCTTTCGTGGTTCCAAGATAATAAGTTTCCCCACCAAAACCTCCATGGGATCGTACGCGGCATTCAAGTGCAGGGGAAGGCTGAAATTAAACTTGCGGGGTTACACTTGGGCAGGGATCATTAGCTTAAGCCTACTATTTCTCGTGAATCCCGAGATAATAATTTTTTTCGCCAAAACTTCCGCGGAGTCGTACATGGTACGCACGGGCAGAAAAGGGCTGAAATTAAATTTGCTGGTTTACACATGAACGAGGAACATTTCTCTAAATTTTCAGTTTCCCAGTTTTTTTTGGTTCCCGAGTTGAAAATTGCGGACAAAATGCATCGAACATGCACACATGCACACACATGCGCACACACACACACACACACACACACACAAACACACACACAAACACACACATAGACATAAACAAACACAAACACACACACACACAAACCCGTGACAATATGCATTTTGTGTAGCTGTTGCACAGCTCAAAGCGCATAGTAAAGTACAAGCGGACGGGCAAAAGGTTAGACGAACCGACACAAAATTTTGCAAAAGAATAACCAGTATTTGTTCGCAGAAATGCAACGGTCTTCAATGAGTTCAAAATCGTTGGCGACGCGAACCAGGCGAGTCCGTGCGAACATGCGTTTTTGCAGTATTTCGTGCTGTAGTAAGATCGCTTGAAATCACAATAGATAGAATTTGTGATACGCTGGCCCTCGAGCTTCAGGAAGTTAATTAAACAACTATCTTGTGGTACTTGGGGAAGAGACTCCTCCTCAAAATTTTAACTTTCTAGCTTTTCTGGTTCTCGAGTTAACGATCTCGCCAAAACTTTCACGTGTTCGTACGTGGGACCAAGACCTGCGTGAAGTCTGGTACCGCGGTCGTGGTGTGACACTTAGCTAAACGACCCGCTGGCAAAATTTTGGCGCCGGAGCTTGCCTGGTCGCCAAGTCGAAATAGTCGGAAAGACGCACACACAGACGCACACATACATACGCACACACCGGGGTCGTCACAGTATGCGTTTTTGCTCGCTGTAGCAGCACTATAGCGTTGCACAGCAGAAACGCATAATTAGCAAATATAAAAAAGTGTGGTGAAACAGCGCCTGTTTCTGAATGGATTCTATTTGTCAGAAGCTAGCCAATACTGGTGTGTGCTTGTGTATGTTTGTGTGAAGTGCATGTGTATATGTGTGTTTGCAGGAAACTTCGCCGTAATCTAGTAAGATGGGACGTGCCATCGTCGATACTGTAATTACAGGGAAAGGAGTGGCGCTGAAATACGGAGAGCCGAATCCATTACCTCAGTGCAAAGCAGGGGACCTACAAGCTGTAACAGGGCAAAATCCAGAACAATTTTGCCGCTGATCCAAATGGTGCT